AAGAGATTCAGGCAGAATCGCAGATGGTGCTTGACAGGCTGACAAAGAAATATTTCCAGGGATGCTTCCAGGCTTGGCAGCGGCGCTGGGATCGTTGTGATCACTCCCAGGGGAACTACTTCGAGGGTGATGGATGAATTTAATACCTGAGATAAGTGTACGGGTTTTTAGACGCGCAGTCTTGAAACTTTCCGATCGCACCTCGTAAACCAATCAGGATTAAGCAGGAGTAGGAACAGCAGCAATGTTAGTAGTGAAGAAATGTTACGTGTATTTGAACGGCAATAGAACGAAACAAGGAAGGCCAGACAAAGTTAAAATGTCCGCAAATGTTTAATCCGGATGCTGTAGCACATTCCCAACAAAGCGTGGACGACGTCGTCTCTGCGCTTAATCAGTTAATCAGAGTTCATAACAGGTTTACAGATGTTCCACTGCAGTGGAACGTGACCGACCACCGGAGGCTGACAAACCCCCTGCTCCCCCACTCCGCCCACAGGAAAAATATTATACGATCCCAATGAACAAGCATTTTTCCACCCGCACACGAGTCTTTAATCGGACAGCGCGGTAACCGCTTTAATCAAATCAATGTGCATATTTGTGCATTGGGAATGGACGACGCACAACGGTTATCGTTTAGATACCACGGGTCAATAATTTCAATTATGTCCCCATGTGTTACAATACACAAGAGAAGCCTAATTCCCGAACCATGTACTGTGAAGAGCACTTACCAGATACAATTGCACTTTCAAGTAGCAAGAGCATAGCAGAGCAGAGCAGAGCACAACATGGTTTAGGCAGAACATATCTGCAGCCCAGAAATGTGCATTGACACGACAGCTACAAAAGTGGTTAGTTAACACACCTCACATCATTCTGCCAATACACAAACGCTGTCGAGAACCTCTTATAAGCGAGCTCTAATTGCTGGGCACAGGACGGCAGGCGGCACTTCGCAAGGCCTCTTCTTCTTCTTCTTCTTCTTCTTTTTTTTCCGTTCGTTCTGTCTGACGACAGGTCCATATGAACAGGATCCTTCCATCCTTTTCTCGGACTGGGACCTGTTCATATACGTTCTTGGCAGATGATCCAGAAGTGGTT